CCCAACGTCTTTCTGAAAACGAGTAACGGTCCAAACTGAATTAGAGGCTCAGCCTCTGGGCCTGATTCCGGCCCTGGTCCTAACTGTGTACCTGGCCACAAAACGGACAACAGCACATTAGTAAAAACACATCCGTAAATAAATAAATAAGAAATCAACTTAAAGTTGAAGTCTTTCCGATGCAGGCCTAAGTAAAATGGCCGTAGGGCCTCCAGCTTGCGGTGACGCAACCTGGGGGCCCTTATCCAACCTCGGGTCCCGTGAGGGGCCCGTGTGGAGGATCTCAGCATGTAACACTCTCTCTCTCTCTCTCTCTCTCTCTCTCTCTCTCTCTCTCTCTCTCTCTCTCTCTCTCTCTCTCTCTCTCTCTCTCTCATGCTACAGCTATGGCTATGGCTATGGCACCCAGCCCCAAGTTGGATGGCATTCCGGTTTTCGAAGACTCTTCGAAGACCAACCCAATCCAATGGTGGTCCAAGTTCAGTCTTGCCTTGGACCTGCAGCTGATTCCGCCGCACCAGCGACATGGCTGCTTCTACCATTGATCGGGCGGTGCTTGTCAAACTTGGCTTTATAGCATCACCAACACTCGTTATGTGAAGATCGTCGACCTGCACACCAAGATTACTTGGGACGAACTTGCAGAAGCATGGCAAAAACGGTTTCAAGTAGAGCCACCGCACATCACAGCAATGGAGAAATGAATGCACTTCACGCAGAACTCTATGCCGAGCACCAACTGGATTGCGGAGTATCAATGGTTGGCATCTACACCGAAAGTTGCCGACTGGATTTGAGGGGCTCAAGCATAACTTCATCAAGAGTTCATGCTCGGCTCTTCAAAAACCACTCACTCACTGCATCGACTCGCGCATCACTTTGCAAGAGCTCTTCAACAAAGCTTTGCAGATCATTCAAACAAACCTGGCGGCTTGCAACGAACGCCAGTCTTCTTCTGCCGGCAAGAAAAAGCACCAGCATGTTGCAATGAACACCAGTCTTCTTCTGCCGGCAAGGCAACAACATGTTGCAGTGGTCGTGGATTCCCCGCTCACCATTTTGGCATTACCAAGCGCACTTACGAGATGCGCATGCAGTACAAGTATCTCTTGTGGTGCAACCGCGATGATCACGAGACTGCCGCCTGTTCACGCAAGAAAGACAAGGATCCCAAAGGGAAACCCTGATCGTGGACCTGAGTACTGTCGGAGTGTGATGACTGCATTCCCAATGCCGCCAGAACCAGCTGTTTCGCAAGCAGCCTCCCTTAAGTCCGCAGCACAGGCGGAAGTCGTGAGTTCTCTTTATGCTTTTGACTGTGCTGCCCAGCTAATTCCACCGCTCGGTCATCATGTTCAAGGACGAGCATCTCTTCTTTATGCATCGTCTTCGTCGTCCAATAGTAGTTCTGCTTAGACGTGGTCGATCTGCTTAAGATTGGGTTCCTCTCCCCATGTCGGGCTGCTGACCGGGAGTGCATTAAGCGGCACTTTGCACACACTTACAAGAGTGTGCCCGTCTATACACCACCAACTTCACCGACTGATGACAAAGTCGCGGTGGTCGATCTTCTCGATTATGTAGCGAAGGTCAAACGCGAGTTTCGCACACAGCAGTATCTAAATGACGCTTTAAATCTTCATTAACCACTTTCTCCCACTTTGTGGCCACTGGTGACACAGTCACCACGAAGCGTTCATCTTTCC